AGTCGGTCACACAGGGGAGAATTCTGCCTTCCTCAAGGTTGTGCCACACAGACAAAGACGCCTTGAGACGATTTGTAACACCTGCTTTTTTATGGTCTATGGAAAGAGGAATCAATAGAACAAGGCCGTAAATGACACACAAAAGGATACACATACATAAGGACACACAGACGGACACACGCTCCAGACCACGACACACCGATGAATCCAAAAGAAGCCCCACCTTGTGGGGAGGAGTCAAGAGGAAGGATTTTGGCATAAATGAGGACGCTGCCGCATTGAAAGTTCAGTTCGGCCAGCTCATCGGAGTCCGGTTCAGCTCGGCTGAGCTCAGCTCAGCTGAGCCCATCAGCTGAGCCCGCCATCTCATCAGCAAGAGTTCGACCGGTGGGTCGGCTCAGGAGCGAGCTGCGACCGGCGGGTCGGCTCGACTCATCATCAGTTCGGGGGAACTCATCAACGGAGCTCCTCAACAGAGCTCCTCAGCTCCTCAGCTCACCAGCAAGGAGCTCATCACCCATCGGGGCTCAACTCATCGGAGCGGCTCCCCATCTTGTCTGCAAGCGAGCAAGTCCCGCTCGCCAGCTTATCAACCAAACTCATCAGCAAGCTAACAAGACCAGCTTGCCAGCCCAACTCATTCCTGCAGACACAGAGGAAGTCTCTACCATCGCCAGGGTGGCGAGGGTCGCTGTTTAGCGACGAGGCCACGAACGTGCATCGCCAGCGCCGATTGCGCAACCGTGCCAAGCCGACTCCCCTCCCGCGCACGCTACGAGCGTGCTGTGTACGCCATCATGACTACAACAACGTGGGCCAGCTGCCAAGCCGAGTCACCTCCCGCGCACGCTACGAGCGTGCTGTGTACGCCATCGCAACTACAACAACATGTCAGCTGGTCAGCCTACGTCAACCAGTGTGGGCCGAGCCTAATCAACTGATACGTATGACGCACACTGCTCCACTACAAGACCAATCAGGCGTTCGCTTGACCTAATGACTCAACTTCAAACACTGACTATTCAAAACCATTCATATCACTCAAACCTACACGGGTCCTTAACCAGAAGCCAATACTCAAGTCCATAGGCCATCAGTGGCTGTGAAGGCATTGCGGCAGATCGAGTGAACACTCCGTCGTTTGTAAGTATATTCGTAATATTACCTCCTTAATATTTTGTTTTGGGCTGTACTTCTAATCGCATACGTACCAACCAATCAATCAATACGAATGAATCCTTGACACCTTCACAACAGAGCTACGCTCACGTGGGGGGGAACAGCGTATCCAACTGGCTTCCCTATCAGGCGATCTGGTCCACAATTAATTAAACGTTAGTCCAAGATAAGGATATCAGGGGAAAGAGCACACCCCACCGCACCCCCTCACCCTAAGCCATTGTGGTAATCATATAAATCTACCCGATGGATCTGTTGAGATATTTGTGCCTTTGGGAATAATAACTGTTTTTGATCACATTTTTCGTATTAATATCGTCATATAATCTTTAAGTACTTTTCGTTACTGATCGCGCACGTACTCGCGTACTCGACAGAATACTCAACTGTTACGTGACATAATCTGCTAACAACGTGATAAGGGTTGCTTATGGATCTATGAATAAGCGCGGTACTGTGTGCAACTTCCAGTATAATCTTTCATAATAGAGTGAATTCCAGTATAATCTGTCATAATACAGTGCATTCCAGTATAATCTCTCATAATAGAGTGAATTCCAGTATAATCTTTCATAGTAGAGTGAATTCCAGTATAATCTCTCATAATAGAGTGAATTCCAATATAATTTTTCTTAATAGAGTATCAAGTTTTGTTGTGTTTAGATGTTTTAATGACTCTCTCTCTCACCAACAGCTCTCGTCACGCGGCGGAGTTAACCACAGGTGCTGTTATCAAAGTGAAACAACCCAGTCATTGATGAGACTGTGTTGATACTGTTGTAATTCCAAGCCGAGAGTTGTATCTTTTAGAGTTAAGGTTTAATTTTAAATAAATTGATTAATGCAGAAGTGGTCGTGTGATTCTTTCCTGAAATCTATGCATAAGATCTGGTTCTGCGATGACATATGAACTTGGGGACCTTAAACACTCAGAGATATGAACTTGGGGACCTTGCATTAAAATACTCTAATTGAGACCTGACCTAACATAAACTCTAATCCATACTCGGTAAATGCTAAAGCGAGAAGCATTGTATTATCCTGATCGATAATACGACGTTAAACCATGAAGCCGAGTTGACTCTTGACACTAGCATAACTGCATATGATTAATTGCATTATTCCGATTGATAACCGACCCTCGTCAACGAGGCGGGGCCTGATTATCATAAAGGCTGTCATTAACATAACCACACCCACTTGCATAAATCAATACGATTATCTCTCGAATTAGCATAATTTATACGCATAAATACCCAAATTAACATAAATTCGGATATATTATGCAAATTTCATTTAATTTTCGTTATTTTCATCCAATTTTCACACACCCACATATACAACAACCCCATGCCAATTCACGCACCAGATGTGCATTGACCAACCCAAATCTTAAGCCTCATCACCAGCATTAGTGCAATAAGAAGCCTGTGTACATTAGTCACTGGGCACAATTTCCCTGCGGGACTCATGAACACTCCCACAATGCTTTGTTACCAAGTTTGGTTTTCCAAAAGTCACTCCACGTCGAGCTCACCGCCTAAACTATTGTTTCGTTTACCAGGTAAAACCCAGAGCTATTGTAGAGACCGCTGCTCCCCGAGTCTCCACTCCCTTGCGATCCGAGGCTCTCCTCTTCTACACCCGGGGGAGGGTTGCTACCCTCCGCCTCTCCTACCTTCGCCGCTGCTCTGCGGGGCGTGGTCCCCGGCTGGTGCTTAGCCCCCCGGGATCCGTTCACACACACGACCTACGTGCCCAGGCACTAATAAACCCGACTTCGCTACCTGCCCGGCTCCATACACCAATCACACGCGAGGGACTTGGGGTCAGGGGTTAGAGGGCAGGGGCGTCCACCGCGCGCTCGCCGCCGATTGGAGGGGACACCTCTGAGCCGATTTGAAGGCCGTTTAAACAGCCGTGCGTGTACGCGAACACCGGACGCTACTCTCCTCGTCGCCGTAAACAGCCGCGCATGCACGCAAACACAAGGCACTCCACCCTCCTCCTCACACTCACAAAGACCACACTACACAGTTTATCCTCTACTGGCGATTTTATTCCCCGCGAATAACCCGCTAAACTATGTGTGATTGTGTGGGTCAGCAGACACTAACTAGCCTATCCTTCGGGGATCCTGGACTCAATTTATCCTGCCTGGCGCACCACTTTCTACCCTCTCATTAACTAGCCCAAACTCACCTCTCTTACTTACGATTACTTCCAATCTGATGCACCAGAAGCTGTAAAAGGGTGATGCTGTGGGTCGTCTCCATGGGGAATTGGGCCTGGCTGCGTTGAAACTCGTCACACGAACGACTCAAATGGCTGGCTCCAACACCTCACCGATCCCGATGCCTTGAAGGACTCCAGTTTTACATGCCTGAATCCCTCCTTTCTACAACAAAGGAGTTCCGCCGTTTCACCTCCTTGGCCTCCCGTCCAATCAGGGGCCCGGATTTTCCTGCTCTTTTGATAGTCGGATCCCAGCTCTGGTGACGTCACCGCATTGGTCCCCTCGACGTCCACCTTGTTCTTCCCGCCATCAGCCTACTGACTCGTGTGGACGCGCTTCCATCCGCAGTGGCTCAACAGCCACTGCCGTGACCATGCCATTACAATCCAAGCTCAGCAGTGGGCACGGTCCCGATGGAGCGGCTCCAGTGTGGCAGCACCATACTATACGGATATTTTTCATAAGGGACCTGGCCACAAATGATAGCTCAGTGGCATGCAGAAACTTACATCGGCCAAATGCGCAACGGGTCATGTTTCTCAATGCTGATAAAAGTTGAATTTTCACGTTAAGTCGCATCGGACGTTGGACTAGGTCACCAGCAAATTAGACGGTCACCATCTGCCCACAACTTTGCAATTACCTTAATTCTAGACCACATCCAAAGCAAACGTGCAGCCAAATACACAACCAGGCAGTACTGCAAGGCCTCTTATTGGTGCAGAGGCCTCCATAGGCGATTGATGAGGAGGCAAGGTCTGAAGGGATTCAAAACTGACAAGACAGAAAGCAAAGGTTGAGCTTTGAGGTGAAAGTTGTGCACCGTTGAGACAATCGACATGAGAAGGGGCTCCAAAGAGCAACAAAATTTCGGCAGCAGGAGGCGCTTCAAGAGTCGAGCAAGTCGGGCCTAGTTGTGTAATAAAGACAAGGCTCCAAGTTTGTCCACATCTTTACACTTCCACGAATAAGAACTTCGAGAAATATGGATTTAAATGCAATTCCCCCCCACCCCCCCTCGCATCAATGGAGTTCTGCATATTCTGTGTAGTCCCTTAGCATCTCGGAAGTTTAAGCTCAAATTTCCAGAGTCAAATGCCTTCTCATAGTTCGCAAGGGATTGGGACAAGCGTAGTTTGTAGTTATGCGTCACTCCAGGAACTCAATTTCTAGTCAACGGCCACGCTGGTAGAAATATTCAATCCCACTGATCGGGTGCGAGGGTGGCCGCTGGAACATAACGATTTTCTTTCCAAGATTTGCTGATACACGAGGGTGAAGGGAGTGTCACCCCTGTTTCTGCAGAAATGTATTTAGGGATGTTACCCATTCTTTAGGGGGCTGATAACTGGGTATCACGTGCCACCATCACATCTGTTTTTTTAACAGTACATAGCCCGATCCTCCTGACATCCGAGGTCAGTGGGGCACTCGTGGCTCCTTTTGGGCAAAGCCAACCTAAGGAGGGGCTCCTCCATCAAGACCACCGCTATTGCACGAAACCAAATGTGCATCACGAGAAGGGAACAGCATCAACCACTGCTTGCCGGTTGAACTAGAAAAAATACGATTCACCAAGCCCAGGACCAGTTTGCCAGTAACTTTATTAGCGATCTCATTTTATATATATTTTAAAGAGATTTATTTTGGCTTATCAGCAGAAATGGGCGGGCCAAAGGGCCCCCTGGTGAGGAACACGCGCTCCTGGAATGGGGCATGGCCGGCCACGAAGATCCTCGTCCACGTGGCCATGAACGCTTGGAAGTCCACGCTGGCGCCTTGGTTCTTGTGAAGATCCGCCATGATCTTGCGCACTTCATCCGGGTCACACGCACCCTGCATTCGTCATACAAGAACACTTTCTGCTACAGCCAATGCAATCAACTGCTCAGTGTTGCAGCAACAGGACTACAAATCAACATGTTAAGGTTACCATTACGAGCCCAGTCTCAATCAACCTAACAGTGACGATGCGCGCTCAGTCATTCTTGCAAATGGCACTGCCTCGAGCCGCAGCAGCTCCCAGTGCACGAGGATTCACGTCATGGCACCACATAGCTCGAGAAACGTTTGTGGTGCTGCTGCCGCGCAGAGCCCACGGGAAACCCACCGCCAGGTAGGGCCGCATGTGCTTCACGAGCAGATTCTGCAGCGCGTGCTTTCTCATGCAGACGCTCCCCGCGCCTCCTTCACAGTTGGCGCAGAACTCGCGCACGAAGATGTCCATGACAGCGCTCAGATCCTCCACGGCAGCCGAAGGCATCACGAGATTCAGTCACCTAAACACATGTACATACCAAGATAAAACTCGCTCATCTAGCCTGTATGGGTGCCCAGTCTTATAGGACAGCTCGACTTACAAACCCCCCCCCCCATCCACCCCACATAAGACTTATTATAATAATTAACACCCTCGATAACAACCAAACTACCGACGGAGGCGACAAGGCTTACCAAGTCGTGTGCAGACGCAGAGCCATTAGGCGACGCGTGCATGCTATGCAGACGTTAGATGATGGTGCTTTGCTCTTCTGACGTATGTACAATTCAGCCCAAATGTGCAGCTGCACAGAACTCTGCAAGCTCTTGTTTGTAAATTTTCCTTTTACTACATCCGAGAGGAAACGTGATGTACATGCAGAAAATGAAATTATTTCCAACGGAAGTTTGGTTTCTTACATTTTGGTAAAGGTTGTTAAAAATAAATGTTTGTAAGGGTTATTTTCACTAATTTTTGCAATTTAAAAACAAAATGTAATGGGTTTTCTAGGAACGGAACCAATGGCTAACATTTTGCCAATGGGAAATTAAGAGTTCGACTTACAACAGCTCGACCTTTAGACGTGGTCCGGGAACAAATTAGGTCGTAGGTGCAAGGTGGGGGTCGCCTGTAATACATAATTTACATTTGTAAAACGCCCTACACCCGTCTAAAGGCGCCTTTAGAAATGAAGGCCAAAGGCAACGCTAGAGAGAATAAGCGGACTTCAGAAATAATATTTTTTTAAAAGACTTAAAAGTATCCAAATTATAGGATAAATGAATTTACAAAGGTAGGGCATTCCAGCCGTGGAACAGCAAATGGCCGCTCACCCCAGGAAGGCAGCTGGGATCGAAGTACTCACAGAAGAGTGGGGGATTGCAGATTAACCTTGGTAAGGGGTGTAGGGATGAATCAATCTCATGAATGTGGTACCAGCCATTGCAAGGCCTGAAAAACTAGTATACGGCTCTTGAAAATAGGCCGATTCAGGATAGGAAACCAGTGTAATGATGAGAACTAGAGAAATATGGTCACAATGGGGTTAGGGTGAGCAGACCAACTGCCACATTCTGAACAATGTAATTTAGCAATAACCTTATTTGAAACACCTACCAGCAAAGCATTGCAATAATCGATTCAGTAGAGAATAAGTGCATGGACGAGCCTCACAATTAGGAAGTACAAGTTTGTTGTGCAGTCGATCACTGTTGGGAGGTGAACGGATTTCACAACCTTTCCACGAGCATTGAATGGAAAGGACAGATCAAATATCATGTTTCAGGCAAACCTTCTGGCCATCAATAACTAGGCTTGAAAGTCCTAGTTTAGGTGTTGGGGAGAGCCTACCAAGATAATTAAATCTTACTTTAATTTAGCTCTGAAAACATGTTTCCTGCAACCATGATGTTACAGTTGAAAGAAAAAGAGGTTTCTAATGTAGAATATGGTGTTAGCTGGAGGCAAACGTGGGCGTCATCTGTGTAGCAATGGTAGCGCAGCCCTAGAAATCAGTGCTGCAAAGTGTCATGTTAAATGCAAAACAGAACGGGACCAAGAACAGATCCTTGTATCTCAGACTGCACCAAAACTGACAGGACTTAAAGCCACCCAGTGAAATACGGATTGGGGTTTTGCAGACAAGAGCAGAAACACCACACGCCCCCATAATATTTTCTACCCGTTAAATTACATCATTGTTAGCAAAGACCTACTACGCCCAGATGCCTTTGTATCCCAAGCAGTGATGTTTAAACACTATGTCCTCATTTGCGAAGTCGATGTAGGGAAGGCCAGAGACTGGTTAGGACTATCCGCAACAGGTGTCGACCGATCGGGAATTCAACTCTGGTCGCCGGGTTCACAAATCGCAGCACGCAAACCGCGACAATACCCTTCAATCCACGCGGCCTAACTGCACTGACCCTAAACAAACAAGTATTTTAGCTTTATTTATTTGGTATAGCACAGCCATTCGTCTCTTGAATCGGGTGCAACCGCAACAAACAACGAAAACAAAACATCCTAGAGTGATTATGTGACTGTACAAACAGAAAATCTAGGAAAAAAAACACAGCAAAATATTCCTGAAAAAGCACCATACACCAACGATGTGTGCAAAAATCCCAGTGGGATGCAAGTCAAACAACAAGACAACGTGGTATTGCGTTCAGATGAAGACACACCAAGCGGAAATTTAAACTAGATGCCTCAATTTCGCCCCAATACTCGAGAACAAGCAGCGCAGAGAAGATTCACAGCGAGGAGGCCACGGACGCCGCCACCGCACTCGAGACGCCGAGAGGAGACGGAACTCACCGGGATGTAGAAGAGAAAAAAGGGGGCGAGCAACAACCACTGAATCCGCCTCCCGCAGGGTTTAAATCGTCACCTATGTTGGTGACGTCACCAATTACCGCATTTACGTGTGCTGATGACGTCACGCATAATTGTTTAAACCTGTGCTCTTTACAATCATTACATCGACATGTTTTATTGATGTCACATGACCCATCGAGTCTCCGCGTGTGAATCTGACCAATTCCGTGCGTCAGCTCATTCAGACGCATTCCCTGCCCGTGCGGGGTAATGGCAGCAGTGACGATGATAATTGATGATGACGAGTAGGAGGGTGGCTGAGTTTGTCTGTCTCTGTGATGTTCACTATTGTCGTAAAGGCGTCACTCGCCGTTCTGTTGCCAGGAAACTTGATCACAAATCCAATGCGAGTTTTGTTATTCAGCGTCGAATCGCCTGAACTCTCACCTCGCTACGTGATATTCCAGCAACTCGCCTCTCTTCACTGCTGCGCACAGACGCAGTTCTCGCGTTAACGATTCCAATCACCACAGCGACACTCATCCTGCAGTGTCACCGAGTCTCACGAATCTCTCCCAGTATCCAGTTTTACATGGCACACATGGTTCCCACTCATCTGCGAATGCCCCAAACGCCTGGAATTCGAACGCTTCACAAATGTCCGTGATTTTCCCTCCCGTCTGTATCGTCATTCGATGCTGAGCTGTCAATTCTCAACGATAACTTCACCTGCAATTGCTCTTGACTCGAACATCCTCGCGTGTTTACAGATGAGTGTAATAGCCACCTTATATATGTTTAATGTTCATGTTACTTATAATTATTCCACGTTCAGTCTAAAATAATCGAATCGACTCAGGCTACAGGGAATTTATGAACGATTAATTATGATTGTGCAATATTTGCGATTTTTTTCATGGTACGTATTTGTTTTTCCTTCAATCACTTTTTTGCTTCATTACTGTTTATTATTTATGTTGCTTAAATCACTTTAAAAACCCATAGCTCAACTGCGTCATCGTGTCATCACCAACGTCATCATCATAATTACAGCGCGATAAGAAGGACGTGCATTAGACGCTGCTTGCACGATTTTGCGTTTCCATTTACACTGCCGCGATGCTTTATGTCACAAAGTTCGGTTTTCCAAAAGCCACTCCACGTTGATCTCCATTGTAATCTCGCTCGGTCTTTAAAAACGACAAATTTTGCAGTTCACACCAGTGTTCCTCCAGCAGAGATGTCCAGGTTTATAGCGACCTTGTGCATGACCTTTGCTCAGCTCGTGTGCATTAATAGCCCAAATTGAGCTTTTTCTGTATTGTTTATCTTGCATTGTCAGATGGCCACTTTTCATTGCACGTTATAATGGATCATTATCCAATCAGATTTAGTCCTTTTTCCATGTGTAGTGGGTTCCGGAGACACTTCGCATAGGTACCTTCTTTATTACAATACAGGACTCCAACAGTCCTTATACACTGGTTCAGCCTAGGGACACAGCCTACTCCTAGCGTGCCGTGACACTGGCAACGCTCTCGGGTCCTCCGCTATAATTACCCTAGGGGAGGCTACCCTGACCCGACACAGCCAAGGTGCGGGTCTAGACTCTGGCTTCCTCTCACCTCGCCCTTACAAGGGCGTGGGGCCGGGAGTCCCAGAGCCCCACCACTGGCCCAGAGTCCCACCACTGGCCCAGAGTCCCACCACTGGCCCGCACAGCGTCCCGGTCCTGACAAGGACAGCGGGTCAAGGGGGTCCAGGGTCCTATCTAGAGGCTGGTCTTCGACTTCGGTCTTCAACTGGTCCCCGATCGGCTGGGCAGGTCCCCTTTTATGCCCCTTGCCTATTGAGGGGTGGGGCTGTGAGGGATCCTGGAACCCCCACAGCCCCCTCCCCCCTTCCCGTTGGGGGCGCCAAGGGGCTTAGCTGTCTGGGGATCCTAGAACCCCCAGCAGCCCCTCCCCTCTTGGGCTGGCGCTGCAGCCCTCCCCTGACGGTACGAGGTACCGTTCCATCTATGGTGCTACACGTGTATCTGTGGCTTTGTTTCTGGACAAAAGTCGCGGTGGACAAAGAGAGTAAAAACGCAATTCCCTTTTAATGTCTGCGATGATTTTCTCGACAGTGTAGCCTCTCGCCTTCTGAGGTTGAAATAACTCAAGTTTCACAGAGTTGAAGCTCTTTCCATCGCCTGCAACGGCTAGGGAAAATGCTTCCTGATATTCGTTTGCCTCCCAGACCGTCTCAAAGTCGGCACTTCTCGACGGCAAAGGAAGCTACTTAACCGTACATGGCTCAGGCGTGTCGTTGACCTCTAAATGTTCTACACATCTCTGAAAGGATCTCCATGAACATTGTAAATAATGGAGTCAGCAAATGGGTCTAAATTAGGTCAGTTGCATAAACTCTAGTTGACAAGGAGCGATGAGTGCCAGGGTTGGACCCGTTCTCGGGGCTATTAAATGGGGCATCACGAGAAGCCGCGCATAACGGCCCTGGTGCTAAAAAGCAGAGCCCGATGTCGTAACGCCGTGGGATCAGTGCCGCTCTCGTCGGCTCCTTTAACCTACGAGGGTGGGAATGAGTGAAGGCCACAACCATTGTCCAATAACCAACCCGGTATTACAGGGATGGAACCAACCACATCTGTATTCACTGCTCACCTGTTCCAACCACTTCATCACCAAGATTAGGAAGAGTGTGCGAGTGACTTTATTCATAATTTTTTTCTCACAGGATTTATTTCGGCTTATCAGCAAAAATAGGCGGGCCACAGGGCCCCTTGGTGAGGAACACAGGTGTGTAATGGAGATGATTTAAAGGGCGGTGGGGCGGGTATTCAGAATCGGTTTTAGAACTAGTATTGCGGTACACTGGGGAATTCATGAAATACTTTAATCGTCCTCCGGCTCCTCTGTGCAACGATGAATACTGGCGACCGGATTCGCGCGCAAACTCGGCACAACGACAGAAGGACGTCGGCCGGATTCGCACACAATGGTCGCCCCGATATAGTTATTCATGCACCAACCTCGGCAACACGACGAGCGTACTCATGCCACCACACCTACCACTATTGTGGTGCCACCGCAGCGGAGCCGCTCCATCGGGGCTGTGCCCACCGCCGTGACACCGCCACCGGGGAGTGACGGCGCCGACGCGACGCGCCCCTCGCCGCCCCTTCCCCCCCTCCCCCCCCCCCCCCACATGAATGCACACAAACCCAGCTAGCAGAGCTAATGCGCCAACTTGACTTACGGTTCGGCGTGAGTAATGAGGAGGAGGCAAAGACCGCCTTAGAGGCACGCCGCCGCCATACCCAATGAGGATTTGCGTGACTGCCGAGGACGTGCGCACGCTAACGCAGCTCGCACGCCCACGGTACACGGCAGAGGCAGTTGAGGACCTCGCCTCCGAGAAAATCCTACGATACTTGACTCGCACCTCATTGTGGCACCCCGATCTAAGCTGCACCCGCCTTTCCTTTAACGCCCTTGTTGAGCGCGTGCGTAAGTGGGAAAGACTTTTCAGCCAACGTGCGCAGCTCCGTTGGCTGGAAGAGGAAGAGGAGGAGGAAGAGGGACTCACCCGCACGATAAAGGGTCGAGCAAGAGAGTCTACGGGGCCCTGCGAGACAACCCCGGGCTGGGTAGCGGGGATACAGATGGGTATAAAAGATATACGGGACGAAGCGAACAAAAATGTAAAGACCATTCAATCCGAAATGGATGAGCTACGCGCCACAGTGGGGGGACTGGCCGGACGGGTAACCCAGTTAGAAGCCGACCTTGGGCAGCTACGTACAGGAAGGGGGAGAGGGGGTGGACAGGGAACCTCCTACGGAACTGCCCCCCGGGCATGTTACCTGTGCGACCGCCGGGGACATCTAGTGAGAGACTGTCCTCAGATCGCCCACGCTAGAAACGCGCCAGGGTTAAACGCCAACGCTCCCTAGAGAGTGGACCACCTAGGGGTGCAATCAATGAGGTCCCGAAACAAAATAACGATAATAATAATAATGGTCAGCGAGTGACCCCCACGCAGATTCCGACCCCAACACCCAAGGATGCGGTGAGGACGGGCAACTGACTGCGGGAGCTGGTGGCAGGATTCACGGGGGCCACGTCGCTGGTGGAAGGACAGGTGAACGGGCAGCGCACCCGGATCCTACTGGACACGGGGGCCGTTGCCTCACTCGTGAGCGCCGCACACGGCAGCGTGCTCGGGGTTGACGTGAGCCGCCTGCAGGCCCCGGATCGCGCGCTGCACACAGCGAGCGGAGCCGGGATGGGGTTGCTGGGAAGGATCTCCCTCGAGGTCCGTCTCGGACACCAGGTGTGCACACAGGAATTCTACGTCTCGAGTGTGTTATGCCACGAGTGTATTGCAGGTACAGACCTCCTGGAAAAGCTGGGGCTCAACGTGCAGCCCCGCCAGCGATGCGCCACCGTGGAGGGCAGCGGGGAGCGGATCCCGTTCCTGGGACCCAAGCCGAATCGCCCTCGCTTCACACCCGTAGCCGCTACGCTGGTGTCGGCCGTCACCATCGGGCCTTTCGCCGAGATGCTGGTGCCAGTGGCAACCCCCTCCGCCGAACCCACACACCGACCATCGGGCGAGGTAATGCTAACTCCTCACCTGGAGTTGGCAGCGCGGTACAGAGTTGTAGGGTCAGCCACGCTGGTAAATGCAGATGGGGGCCGACTGTTCATGCGGGTGTTTAACCCACACAGTACCCTGGCAATGCTACGACGATGCACCACGGTAGCCACCATACACCCCTTGACGCACGCGCGCCACTCTAAAGACTCGGTGTTTGCACTCTGGGCGGAGGACCCTGGCCGCCCCGAGGACAAGCAGGACCTGGCCTGGCGAGTCGGCCCGACTCCCCGAGCCGAGATCGTCCCCTTGCATGATGCGTTACATGTGCCTTGGGCAGATTTACCTAAGGGGGGAGGCCGATCAGCTGCGCGGGTTATTGCAGGAGTACGCCGACGTGTTCAGTGAGCACGATTCAGATATAGGCCGGACAGACCTTGTTAAGCACCAAATTGACACACGTGCAGCCCGACCTATCAAACTCCCCGCATACCGA